GACCAATGATGACCATCACAAGGAAAACAGTCAGACCACCCAGAATCACACCCATCAGGGTTGTGTTTCCATCAGACTTTTCTGCAACAGAGATGAACAATCAGAGTAAATATTCTCTTCTGTGGCTTGTGATCTCGCTAATATTTGGGGCAGTGAATGAAACTTTACTTTGAGATGTGCAGTCGATGTCATCGTCAGATTCACTGTTGTCTGAAATAAAGGTAAATAATGTGCAGCTGTCACTAAAATTCTCAACATATTTTACATTTTGAGATGAAATCAACAAGAAAATCACACATTTGAAAGGGATAATTTACTGTAAATTTTACCTTGAAGATATAAGTGTATTACTCTGACTGTTGGATGTGGATTTGTGTAAAATCCACAATAATACAGTCCAGAATCTGATAAATCTACTGGTCTGATTTTGAGAAAGACAGTAGCAGTTTTGGAGCTCATTTATAATGATTCATTTTAAACTCTCTCACAGTGTGGGGCGCACAGTGAAACAGACACAAAGCACTTAACAAGAATCTTACCTTGAACCTTTAAATATGTTGGACTGACAAATGCTGAGAGTTTGTCCATGCAACATCCACAGAAGTAGAGTCCAGAGTCAGATACATCCACACTTTTGATCTTCAGAAAGAGGTTTGTGAGGTTGGATGTCATTATAAAGCTCCCATTTTGAAATCCATCACAGAGCAAATCTTTGCTATCAGAGTTGAGCATATACGAGATGCAGCTCATATTGGATCCATTGGTCATCCTGAACCAGAATATGTTTGTGGCCAAACTACTATAGTTGTTACATGTCAGTGTGACTTCTTGAGCAGGCTGAACCTCCACAATGAGAAACTCAGAAACTGAGACAGAGATCCAACCTGAAGGAAAGAATGGATTCATGAACTTCTCATTCAAACATTAATCAATTTTGTTGAATGAATGTGTAGAAAGAAAGCCCAGCAGCTGTAGTGAGAAACAAAATTATATATATACTTACTGAAGGTGCAGAGTAAAGCAGCTATGAAGGTAAAGTTCCCCATGGTGTGTACAGTACGACTCCACCACATCAGTGTTTGCTACTGAACTGTGCTTCAGTAGGAGTGACCTGAACGTTAAGAGGTGGGCTGGACTTATATCTATCCGCCTGCTCAGACTGACACTGTCAAATGGTATAATACTTCCTCAAAAGAACACAGGACAATGCTAT